CCGCCATGTGGGTGCTGGGAATCGAACCCGGGTCCTCTGCAAGAGCAATCGGTGCTCTTAACCGCTGAGCCATCTCTCCAGCCCTGTTATTTTTATTTTATGTGTATGCGTGTATTGCCTGCATGTAGATAAGTGCACCCGTGTTGTGCATTACTCATGGAATTCAGAAGAGGGCGTCAGAGTCCCCTGGAACTGGAGTTAAGGAGGGTTGTTAGCTGCCATGTGGGTCCTGGGAATCGAACCTGGGTCCTCTGCAAGAGCAGCCAGCACTCTTAACTGCTGAGCCATCTCTCCAGCCCCCATGCTTTAAAAGTCTTAATTTTAATTCTATTTCTGTCCTTTCAGATTTTGCTACTTTCTAGATGCTTTGCTTAGATTTAACCTTCAAATTGTTTTGAAAAATTGAAATAAGCAACAAAAGTAGAGAGGTAGGCACTTAGTTGTGAGGAGGGTGCTTGCCCCTGGCCCATCCTTTCCATAGGCTACAAGCTCTATATTTACTGCTCACACTCCTTAGCTACTGTAGGATCAGATGAAGGCTGAATTTCTCCTGATGCCATGTCTTTTTGGCTTCCTCACCAGTCCATCCTGTGATGGACTTCCTGGTGTCTCATACATAATGCCTAGATGTTGAATGCTATATGTTGTATGCCATTGAATTTATCTACTTATCTCCCTGAGGATATGTGTAGCTAATCTTTTCAATATCTATTTGAAAATTAAATCACTAATTAACCCTGATGTGGTGGCATAACCCTTTAATATTAGTACTTGGGAGGTAGAAACAGGTGGATATCTGTGAGTTCTAGGCCAGCTTAGTCTAAATAGAGAGTTCCAGGCCAACCAGAGCCACACAGTGAGACCCTGTCTCAAAACAAAACAACCAAAAAATTCTTTTGAAACATGTGCATGCACACCTGTACCTGCATGCACACTTATACCCACATGAGCACATATACACACATAGTTCTTCTCAGAGGAAAAAAAAAGTCGCATTTATTTTGAGCACACAGTTTGCATAGCTTAAAAATCCAAAGGCATCTGAAAGTACACAATGAAAGACTTCTGCCTGTCTCTGCTTTCCCAGCTCCTCTTCAGAAATAGTTTTCTTTTGTTGTTGTTAGATATCTTCTAAAGAAAAATGGGCTTTTTGAATTGCACACCCTCTGTCTTCATCTTTCATTGTATCTTACAAAACTCATTCGGTTTACATTTCTATGATTTATTTAAAAATGTAATTTTTTTCCCTAAAGAATTTTTTTATATTATTCATTTATTGCATGTGTGTGTGTGTGTGTGTGTGTGTGCATGATGCAGAAAACATTTTGTGAGTTGGTTCTACTATATGGGTACTGCTGGGATTGAATTCAGCTCATCAGACTTGGCAGCCAGTGCCTTTACCCACTGAACCATCTCATCAACCCTCTCTTAGAAATTTGAATGATTTTTAAAATTAATTTTCAGGGAAATACTGAAAAATTTTGCACACCAGTACTATGGCATATTGTCTTCTTGCAACCATAATTGAGCAAGGTGGCAATCAAGGGGAAGCACTGGACTGTATTGCTGTAGTTTGTCCACTCATGCTGGGTGTGGTTTGGTGCTTGCCTATAATCCCCAGTACTAGTGAGACTGAGGAAGGAGTTTGAGGATAGATTGGGGCTATCCAAGGACAACCTGTTTCCAGAGACAAAAAGGAAAGGGAATTAAATTTCTAGGTTGCTACTTGCTGGGCATGGTAGCTAGCATACACCTTTAATCCCAGCACTCGGGAGGCATGTGGATCTCTGTGAGATCAAGGCCAGCGTATCTACATAGTGAGTTCTAGGCCAGCTGGGGCTATAGGGAGACTCTGTCTCAAACAACAACAAAAATTCCTAAAATTTAGTTTTGTCTTTTGCTCAATTATTAGATAAGAAACCAAATGCTTGGGCCATTTATTATGTTGGCCTACATTATAAATTGGGTCACCTAGAAAGAGGAAAATAATAATATTTGTTAGAAATTAACAATTTTGTTGTTTCACTTTTTTAAAAAGTTTAATTTGGGGCCGGACGTGGTGGTGCACGCCTTTAATCCCAGCACTCGGGAGGCAGAGGTCTACATAGTTCCAGGACAGCTGGGGCTACAGGGAGACCCTGTCTCAAAAAGACTGAAAAAAAAAAAAAGAAAAAGAAAAAAAGGTTTAATTTGGGGGCTGGAGAGATGGCTCAGCAGTTAGGAACACTGGTTATTCTTGCAGAAGACCTGGGTTCGAATCCCAGCACCCACATGGAAGCTAACAACTGTCTGTAACTCCAATCCCAGGGGATCCGACAGCCTCTTCTGACCTCTGCGGGCATTGCACGACACGGGTGCACTTACCTACATGCAGGCAATACACGCATACACATAAAATAAAAATAATAAATAAAAATTTTTTTAAAAGTTTCAGGCCGAGGGCCTGAAATTCTTTCTTCAGGTATGCCAGGCCCTCAGTCAATATTTACCTAGAGGCTACAATAATTCTATTGTAGAATTATCTGGTTGACTCATTGCATGAATGTCAGTCACTGTGTGGACACTCCTAATGTAAGCTGCTTTAAACTTCTATTAGCCCTAAGAGTTTGAATGAAGAGATTACTCACTTCTGTGGGTGAGGAAAACAAAGATGGGCATGGATGGTAATTTACCTAATGGCAGCATATAGAGCACAGTCAATTTCAAATCCTGCTTTTTACCATTTCTAGTTTTGTGATTATAGGATTTATGGCTTTGCTGACTGAACTATTTGAGGGTTTTCTAAGATGTGAGCTTTTAAAAAGCGTCTTAACAGTCTAATAGTTTTTAAAATTGTTTGAAAAGTTGAGATCAGGTTTTGTAACGTGCTTTTAAACACTCTGACGCTATTTATATGGCATATACATGGAGCTGATATCTGAGCCAGAAATCCTAGTCCTGCTTGTGAGACTAAGGTGACCTTGAACTTCAGCTCCTCTTGCCTCCTTGCCTCCCTGTCTTGTTTGCTGGGATGAAAGGCTTGAGCCACCATGCCCTGCTCCTTAGCCATGTTTAATTGGTGCAAAAAATTCAACTATAAATTAGCAATAACTTCCCCTGTCCTAAGTAGTTGGGCTTATAGACTTGGCTCATGCCTTTTCCACAGTAAACAACAGTGAAGATTTAGAACTCAAGGAACTGCAGGGCTAGTTTAGTCTTGTAATTCCCCTGTGGCTCCCTTATGTACTTCCTGAGGAAGTGTGAGGGGAAGAGCTTTAGAGGATTACCAAAGGAGAGGAGACTTCAAGGTTATTGCTGTTTAGAAATCATGTTTCTTAGTGTGTAGTCCTTTGTCTTTGCCAGAGGATTCAGTGGTACTTTCTGTTTTTGTAGGCAGGCTCGAAGGTCTCTTGACACACTAAGTGGCCTCCTGAACCTCTCCTTACTCTATCACATCTGGCTATATGGTGTCTTCCTCCTGATGACTTGGTACATCTCATGGGTACTCTTCAAAATCTATGCCACAGAGGTCAGTATTTGGAAGTTTTTTTCTTTCTTTTTTGTTTTTTTAAATACGTTTGTATTGTAGAGTGCAGAAATAGATTTTTAAAATACTGATCATTGTGCTATGTTCAAAGCCAATTTATTTTGTTGGATTTTAATTTCTTCTGAGACTTTTGGGAGCATTATCATTTATAGCCATTTATTTGTAACTTAAAAAAAATTTTTTTTAGCTGGGTATGGTGGCGCACACCTTTAATCCCAGCACTTGGGAGGCAGAGGCAGGTGGATCTCTGCGAGTTCAAGGCCAGCCTGGTCTATATAGCAAGTTCCAGGTCAGCTGGGGCTACAGGGAGACCCTGTCTCAAAAAGACCAAAAAAAAAAATGAAATTTTTATTTATTATTTTTATTTTATGTGTATGTGCATATTGCCTGCATGTAAGTAAGTGCACGAATGTCATGCAATGCCCGCGGAGGTCAGAAGAGGCTATTGGATCCCCTGGGACCGGAGTTACGGACAGTTGTTCTTGCCATGTGGGTGCTGGGATTCAAACCTGGGTCTTTGCAAGAACAACCAGTGTTCTTAACTGTTAAGCCATCTCTCCAGCCCCTATTTGTAATTTTTTTGAGGAACAGTGTTTGAAAATTAAACTGGATGGCACTTACTATGCTGTGCTTACAGTCTAGCTTCTTCAGTTTCTGTTTCTTTATTAAGTACTGTTTGTGCCTGAATTTTAAATTAATTTTATATGCTATTGACATAGATATCATTAACATGTAAATATGTGGTTATAAGATATTTACTTTTTATAAGGAAGTGTTGAAATTTATGCTGAAATGATTCTAAAAATTGAAATAATCTGAAGAATTCTCACAAAAATCTTAAGACTGCATTCTTTTTATCATTTAGGTGTGTTTTCTTAGAAAGCAAGTATTTCTATTAGTCTTAACCATTTTTGTGGTAATTTTCAGTGGCTTCAGAGAATCTTTTTATATTTTATTTTAAATATTTTATTAATTATTTTTATTTTATATGAGTGTATTGTCTGCATGTATGTAAGTGCACCCAGGTTGTGCAATGCTCTCGGAGGTCAGAAGAGGGCAGCAGATCCTCTGAAACTGGAGTTACAGATAGTTGTTAGGTGCCATGTGGATGCTGGGAATTGAACCTGGATCCTTTATAAGAACAGCCAGTACTTTTAACTGCTGAGCCATCTCTCTAGCCCTGGCTTCAGGACTTTATTTCTAGTAATAGAAGTTAGAGTCTAATAAAATCAGGGTCTCCCTGTAGCCCCAGCTGGAACTCAGGCTGGCCTTAAACTCACAGAGATTCTCTACCTCTGCCTCCCAAGCGCTGGGACTAAAAGCGTGCACCACCATGTCTGGCGACAGTAACACTTTTAACAGTGCTTTTGCAAGGAGCACTGAAAATGTTGATTTGGTTATTATCTCTTTATAATCTCAGTGCTTACTTATTGAATATGACAGAATCATGAAAATAATCACCTTTACATTCTTTGTACTTGCTTGTATTTGATAGGCTCATGTGTTCCCTGTTCAGCCACCATTTGCAGAAGAATCAGATGCATGCCTCCCGAAGGTCTTAAATACCAACACCCCTCTCATCATAAAGGTACAGGAGTGTGCAGCTTGTAGTGCCATAGTCATTGATGTGTCTGACAGAATAGGTATACTATTTAGATGCATAGCTGGCCACTTAGATGTGTCTTTTGTGGGACTAGAATACAGTACTGGTATTAGAAAAAATTACCTTCTTGCTAATACTATTTTTTTATTATTATTATTTTTTACTTTTCATTAAGTGATTATAATGCACAAGTAAAGTATGTTAGATATGTACAAGCTGTGTGCACGGTTCCCAGGGTGGCTCTTGGATTCATTCTACCTTGCTGTCTTAGCCTCCTGAAACTACTGGCATGTGCCACCACAGTCAGCTCAACAAGCTATGTATGTAGAAAAGAGACATAAGTATTTCAAAGCTGAGATGCAGTGACAGCCAGAAAAACTCATTAGACTTTTAGAAACTATTCTTGTTTTTTTTTTTTTTTTTTTTTTTTTAAAAAAAAAAAAATTTTATTTATGTAATATTTGGAGTTAAAGGTAGTATGTTTGGTTGTGTGTTGACATTTGATGAACTCCTTAAATGTGAATTACTGATAATCCTAAAAAGATCATAATCACAAAAAGTTTAAAGAAGTTTGCAAATCAAACTAAGTGAACAAAATTGTTTTGATCCAAATTATAGTTTGAAATTGCAAAGGATATCTCAAAGCATGTTATCCTGTTAAAAGGTCATATTACCTTATTTTGTTTTTATATGGCTTTTTTTTTTTTTTTTTTTTGCTCTTTTTGAGACAGAGTCTCCATGTAGCCTCAGCTGGCCTGGAACTCACCTATGTAGACTAGGCTGGCCCCAAACTCACAGAGATCTGCCTGCCCCTGCCTCCAGAGCACTGGGATTAAAGACATTCCTGCCAAGCCTTCTAAGTGCTAGGATTAGAGGTGTGCATCACCATGTCCAGTTATCATAGTACTTAAAAAATAATTAAAAGAAAATGGTTGGAACCCAGTGTTTTTTGTCATAGCCTAGAGAAGTTAGAAACAAGTAATAAAACGAATCAAGTCACTAATTGTCATTAAATACTACTCAGTCATTTGGCTACTTACCAAATCTTTAATTAGTAGGTAGGATTCAGTCAGCACTAGTTGTTTTGGGTAGAATGATGAATAAGACATAGCACAGTCTAATGGAAAAGGCAGACACATCATTCAATTTATACTGGCAAGTGCGGTGGGACCGCTTACTCCACTTGAGACAAACACCAGAATGCTTCACAGAAGGAATGATGGTTTGAAGCATGAGTAAGAGATTCACTAGGGAGAAGATTGTAGATTTTCAGGGAAAGGCAATAGATGTGTGGTTACTGACTGCTAGACACTGCCTTTGGATGTGATAGTGAGCAAGATGTTGTCCCTGTCCTTGTGGGCCTTTCAATGTGGTGGGTAGAACCTGATGAAGCACGTAAACAGCATTTGCAGTATATTAAGTGCCACAGCTGAGACCTGTGTAAGTATATTTGGGAGGCCAGGGAAAGTTCGAGAAGGAAATGATGCTTGAGTTTTCCACCACAAAGGTACAAGAGTATACAGAATTGTATAGTTCCTTGTATGTGGCTGGAGCCTACACTGGGCAGGGAGAGTAGAGGAAGGAAAGTTCTAGAAATCTAGAAAGAAAGATTATGGTTCAAAAATACTTCTTTTTTGAAAAAGTCCACCTGATTTCCTCTTGGATATATAATGACTGTAACTCATACATACGATTTTATGTAGAGGTTAAAAAAACAAATAGTGCTTTTCTTTCTTTTATTCTTTTAGTATTTGGCTCTGCAGGACCTGATGATGCTTTCTCAATATTCTCCTTCTCGAAGACAAGAAGTTTTTAGCCTCAGCCAGCCAGGTATTACTAATGTAATAGACCTGATTAGGCTTGTGTGAGTACAGGGTGCTCCACTCAGTTTTTGGTGTGAGAGGCAGGCATAGTTCATAAAACACCTTACATCATTGAGCCCTTTAAATGAAGTATAGATTAAATCTTACACAACTTAAGTATATTGCTGTGGGTAGACTTTATGTCACCAGTGAAAGTATTTGTGAACTTTTATTTCTTTGAGTTCCTTAAAATACCTTAACCGAAAGAAATTACATAGAATTTGACTGTGTGAGGGCAGAAGAGTACAGCTTAAGAATCTTGAGACATTTGAATGCTACTTAAAAATTAGGTGGTTTAATTCTAGATGGGAGATCTAACTCAGTGTAAGAATTGGAGTGAGGATTTTATTATTTGACTGCCACTCTGCCTCCCTTAGGAAAAAAGGTAGGCAGAAACTAGATTTGACGGTGGCCTAAGGATGCTCTTGGCAGGCCCAACACTTCTCTATTGTGACTTGCCAAGCAGCTTAAGACTGACTGGCTTTGCCGGCATTCTGCCTTGTTCCTGAAGTAGTCCAGCACTGTCCCCAATGGGAGCGAGAACCTGAGTATCCTTTCATCTTCTTTCTAATTAGCTTCCACTGTTTTGCCAAGCTCCCCAGTTCCTGGGTTGTGGAAAGACCATCTGGTTAAATGTGATAAGGAAACGAAATCCAGTTATATAAAAATATAATTGATTGGAGCTGCTTTCATTTTTAGTGGTGAGAGAAATCAAGATCTGGTACTATAAAGAAAAAGCTGGAATAATACTTTTCTAGCACATTCGGGTTAAGAATTCTCTGTTTATTTTTCCAGAGATACAAGTAAACTGACAAATTAGCCTGTGCTTTTCCAGAGAACTTCAATTCTAGGGCATATGATTACAATTTAAGTAGAATATCACACAGTTCTAGTTAGCTGTACAAACATCTCAGGGACTCCGACAATGTATCTTGGGTGTATGTGGGTTAGGTGACAGTCCCCTTAAGTCATACAGAAGGAATGTTTAAGGAATGATCTAAGTGAAGAGGAAATGATTGGCACATCAGATAGGAAAAACAGTTTTTATTGGCTTTTGCTATTCTTAACATATATGGAACGTGGTTGATTTTTTAAGTGGTTAACTCTAGATAGCAAAGGTTTTGGAAAAATTCAAAGACAAATTTGAAGTAAGGGAATTTTTTAAATGAACAAGGATTAGTAGTTTGTATTAAATAATAAGATAGATATGTAAACTCTCTAAGTATGATCATTACGAAACAGTGAATCACTCTTAGAGATATAATAGCAACTATTGATTCTTACACACAGTTCCTCCCTTGTCTGTGGGTATATTCCAAGACTCCCATTGTATGCTTGAAGCTGTAGATGGTGTACTGTGTTTTTTCCAATGCATATATACTGATGATAAAATTTATAAATTAAGTACCATAGGAGATGAACAATAAGCAAATAGAACAGGGCTGGAGAGATGGCTTAGCAATTAAAAGCACTGACTGCTCTTCCAGAGAACTTGGGTTCAAGTCTTAGTACCCACATGGTGGCCAACAACTGTCTATAACTCCAGTTCTAGGGGATCCAATGCCCTTTTCCTGGCCTCCACGGGCTTTGCACGACATGGATGCACTTATATATATAATAAAATTGCTAATATGACTACTCCTTTTTTTTTCTTTTTGGTCTTTTTGAGACTGTGTCCCTGTAACCCACTATGTAGACCAGCCTGGCCTTGAACTCCCAGAGATCGGCCAGGCTCTGCCTCCCAAGTGGTGGGATTAAAGGCGTGTACCACCACACCCCTCCACTACTCCTTTTTTCATGGGGACATTATTAAGTAGAGGGTGTTGATGCCTATGACAAGTCAATCTGATGACTTATGTGATTAGTTAGTGATTAACTGGCAGGTCATGTATACAGCATGAATACGCTGGATGTAAGGATGATTAATGTCTTGGGCTTTCAATTGACATGGAATGGCACTAGATTTCATAATACTATTTAGAACAGCCAATTTAAAGCTAATAACTCTTTATTTCTGAACTTTTTTTTTTTTTTTTTGGAGTTGAGGACCGAACCCAGGGCCTTGAGCTTGCTAGGCAAGCACTCTACCACTGAGCTAAATCCCCAACCCCCTATTTTTGAACTTTTATATTTGTTATTTTTGGGTTATGGTTGATCAGAAGAAACTGCAGAGTGCAACTGTGGATAAGGAATGAGTCCTACAAATGAAGATGTAAAGATAGACAAACAGTCCAGTGGTGACTGGGTGTACTATACATCCTAGTCTTCATTGCCTTAGCTCATTTTTCACAGGCTTAGCATTGCTAGTGAAGTAATGCTGGTCTTTCACCAGCCATGGCCTAGTGCTTGACTATTAGTGACCAATGAGAGAGCCTTTTAAGGTAAAATTAAAAATTTTGCTTTCAGGATTTTTGAATAAATTGAGCCAAGTACTTACTAAATTTCTGCATGTTAAATGGCATGCATATCCACAGTAGCTTCACTGAAAAAAGTGGGCCCTGATGCTGAGTGTGATGGAGCATTTCTTATCCAACTCCCCTGCTCCCAGCTTTGAGAGGAAAATGTATGATTATTTGTGTTCTAAAAGCTGCTGTTTGGCCATCCTAGGTGGACATCCCCATAACTGGACTGCCATTTCAAGGGAGTGTTTGAATCTTTTAAATGATATGACTCAGAAACTGGTTCTCTACCAAGAAGCTGCTGCTACAAATGGCAGAGTGTCTTCTTCATACCCAGTGGAACCCAAGAAACTGAATTCTCCAGGTAAATCCTAGTCCTAAAAGAGAGGGGAAAACACATCTATTTCCTAGAAAGGTTAACAGTAGCTATTCCCTGATTATGTACATGTGTGAGGTGTATTTTTAGGTAAGATTGATCATCCACCATTGGGATGTTGTATTGAAGAAAAAGACCTGGGTATCATTGTTGATTAAAAAAATTAAGTCTAAAACATCAAGTCATTGAACATTAAAAACTAGACATTTTTTTCATTTCCCAGCTAATAAAATATTTTAAATTATATCCAGTGTGGCAGTAGTATTTAAAAGACTAATAAAATGGTGGTCATCAAGTAAAAGACTTCCGTTCAAAGCCAGGTGACTCTTCACAGATAGTACTGGATGATGTTCTGGTGCAGTATCCCTAGGACCCTGCTACTGGGCCAGATAAGAACAGCTGAAGTGATGGAATAATTTTTGGAGGGTGCATGACATTGTGTCAAGATAATGGAGTATAGTCTTAGTGTTTCTTTCCCTTGAAAGATAAAAACTGAGGAAGAACTCCATGTAGAGGAACTGGTGCTAGTCACATAATCCCTTATGTGGAAGATGCTTACAAATGGTAAGACAGACAAACAGCTTAATGTTTGGATGTCTTTGGGATCAGGCATGAAGAAAGATGGATATGAGTATCTAATGAGGATGTGGTAAGCCTGAACTTTTAGCCTCTTTTCTTTTCTTTTTTTTTTGAGACAGGGTCTCACTATGTAGGCCTACCTGGCCTGGAACTCACTATGTAAACCATCCCAGGCCGGCCTCAATCTCACAGTGATCTGCCTGCCTCTCCTGTTGCCTCCCAAGTGCTGGGATTATAGGCATGTTCCACCATGCCCGGCCTTCTTTTTATTTTTAGGAAATATCTGAAGTCTAAATACATTTTTGTTGAAATTTTCCATTTTTAAAAAATGTCTACCAGTCTTGATGTTCAGGGTTGGGGATGAAGGTTAGCGATAATGTTCTTGCCTAGCATGCATGAGGCCCTGGCTTTATACCTATCACTGAGGGAACATTTTGCTAATGTTGTTATTTTACATCAATATGGACCAAGCAAACTCATCTGTGGTTTTTTAAAATATATTTTATTTTTATTATTTTTATTTCATGTGTATGAATGTATTGCCTGCATGTGAGTGCACCCGTGTCATGCAATGCCACAGAGGTCAGAAGAGGGCTTTGGATTTCACTGGAACTGGAGTTAAGAACGGTTTGCAGCCGCCATGTGGGTGTTGGGAATTGAACCTGGGTCCTCTGCGAGAGCAGTCAGTGCTCTTACCTGCTGAGCCATCTCTCCAGCCCCTCATGTGTGTTTTTGAAGTCATTACTCTAGAACAGTCACAGCCTCAAAACAAACTATAAACTAAATAGGTTCATGATTGTCAGGGTTTAAAAGATTCTAGAGTGTTTCCAGTGTTACGTTCTTCTGGGTAATTAGCAAATACTAATTTCATTTATTCAACAAGTCCTTGATAGCTTTGTGTATACCAAGCAATGTACAAGAAGCCAGGGATCATAGATGAAAACATAGTCTTGGACCTGACCTTTAGGAGAAGGCACACAAATAATGACTTGACAGTGTTAACAGCTAAAAGGAAATGTGTCAGAAGTGGGTATAAAGGAATAAGGTGCTGTCTGGTAATGAAAGGAGCCCTTGCATGCTATGAAGAGTTGAGATGTTTTTCATAGGGATATAGAGCCATGAGAGAACTTTGAAAAGCCTAGTTGTATCAAATGAGCATGTGAGAAAGATCATTATGATCTTAGGTTGGATGGTCTATGGGCCTAATTAAAAATGAATGTTTATTATTTTATATTGTCATTTTCCATTTTTCAGCCAAAAATGCCTCTAATTTTAAGAAATTTTAAAAAACCACCATCTTAATTTTAAAATGATTTTCATCAGGCTTACTAGTTTAGACTAATCCTTAAAAAGTCATGTGCTAAAAATTTAGTACTCTCAATATTTAATTTCTTATGCCATTTTTATTAAGAGTAAAAATCCTAGTGCAGTGTATTTGTCTCAGTGCCTTGTGCCAGAGTATCAGGAAAAGTTTCTTTGTTTTTGTGTAACACATTCTATATGGCTAAATTGGTAGTTATAAACTGATTTTTGTTGTTTCTGGTGCTTAGGGACTGAACCCAGACCGTACACACACATTCTACTATTCATCTGCATGCTAGCCCAATATAAGATTGTTTTTAATAAAGCTGTTTGCAGATCAGATTAATAGATATCCTGGGAAAATAGAGTTTTTTCTTTGATACCTGGGATTGAACATAGGGCCTTTTGCATGTTAGACAAATGCTACACCACTGAGTTATATGCTCAGCCCTTTTCTTCTTTTCATTTTGACACAAGGCCTCAGAAGTCTCCCAAGCTAGGCTTGAATTTACTCTATATCCCAGGCAAGCTATGAACTTGTGATCCTCCTAACTCATCTTCCTGAGTAACTGGGATTATAGGCCCACACCACCAGGCCCAACAACAAATTATTTTTTGGCGTGATTTGTTTGGAGAACATGGGAAAAAAATTAGCACTTTTTTCTTGCCCATCCTTACCGTATAAATTTGGTATGTTTAGCCAAGTAATAAGAGAAACATTCAACCAAACTGGGTAGATTCTGATGTGGTAAAATTATGGCCATTTAAAAATAAAATACAAGCCTGGTGTGGTGGCACACGCCTGTAGTCCCAGCACTTGGGAGGCAAAGGCAGGCAGATCTGTGTGAGTTCAAGGCCAGCCTGGTCTACATAGTGAGTTCCAGGACAGCTGGGGCTATAGAGAGACCCTGTTTCAAAAAAAAAATCTATTTAGGGTCAATAGAATGTCTCAGTGGGTAAAGGTACTGGCTGCCAAAGTGTGACAGCCCAAGTTCATTCCCCAGGACCCACATGGTAGGAGAGAAGGGCTATTGACCTCCGTATGGGTGCCATGGTGAGTGCTTTTGAATGCGTGTATGTGTGTGTGTGTGTGTGTGTATATGAATATATATATGAAAATGTAATTTTTTTTTCCGTCTTTTTGAGACAGGGTCTCCCTGTAGCCCCAGCTGGCCTGAACTCATTGTATGTTCAAGGCTGGCCTTGAACTCAGAGATTC